GGGCTGAGACAAAGTCTCCAAGTGAATGTTGAGTAACTCCTAAGGAATCATAGCTGTCAGCGGTTTGTGAATGGTCTTCACCCAGAGCCTTTAACCGGATATCCAGTGCACGCTTCTTTGACTCAAGGGCTGAGACAAAGTCTCCAAGTGAATGTTGAACAACTCCTACTTTATGATAGCTGTCAGCGGTTTGTAAATGGTCTTCGCCCAATACTTTCAATTTGATATTTAGTGAACGCTTTTCTGATTCTAAGGCTTCTGCGTAGTTGACTTCAGTGCGTTCAATGTTTTTTGAGGAGGTTTTGCATTTTTTTTCATCATTTTGTTTTATATTCTTTTTAGGATGAAAATTAATCATATCAACGTAGTAAAGTGGACGGTCCGTGTTATCTTTCAATTCGTCGAGCAGTAGTACTCCGGAGAAATGATAACGGAACCGACCAGTTGCACCAGCTGGAATGGTTGACTCAGATTCCTTCATTATTTGCAGCAGTAAATTAGAGAAGGATTGCTTGGTTTTATCAGTGGAGATGTTCTTTATCGCTCGACTTACGAGAATGATAACTTCCGTTTGAAGTGGCTGGTTATGAGTCAGGCTCGTTTCGTTTAGGTTTTTTCTGACTTCATGTCCCCTAGTTTCATCGATCTCCGGGATCACCATCAGCCCTGTGTCCCCAACTGCTTTGCATTCATTGACGGCTCTTTTGTAAAAGTCCGCTGACTTTAACGGGTCACATTTGAGACTGTGATAAAGAGCAAGAACTTGGAGAATAATGAGCTTTAGGATTCTGTGCATTGGAATGGTTTCCATTGACGAAATGGCGTTTTCTAAAAGCTTCATTCCTTCTTTAGTTTTCCCGATGAAGAATTTGTACAATCCCCTGTAACTCAAGAGTTTTCCTTCTAGTTCTGTGTCACGAATAGGAACAGTCAACCGAATTTGTTTAGCCTCCAACAGCAGCCTCTTGGTCTCTCCAGTTGCGCCAATAACTAAGCTACCATAAGCTTTCGACAGAAGCAGTCGTTTGTGGACAGAGCTATGCCTATCGTGATCAGTGGCTGCCTTTATTGCTGTCTCGTAAATAATTCCAAACAGAGCATCATCTATCCAATAAAGAAAGGAGAGATACATCTCAGCTATAGTCAAAACATTGCAAACTTTATCGACTGTTCTTTCCTCAAGACAACCGTCAATTAGACTATGAACGAAACTTTCCTCATTTTGAAAAAACTCTAGAAAAGCTGACATGGAATATCCTGCCAGAAACTTTTTTGTGAGCGTTTCAAATAAGGAAATGTACAATTCGAAAAAGCGCACTTTGGAGTTCAAGAGCGTGTCTTTCATGTCGCTTTCCCCTTTTTTCTGTACAAATGACAGTATGAGTTTATGGATGCAATATTTCTCGGCTTTCGAACTAGAATCAATGAGGGACTTTCTCTGGAGTCTCTGCAGAACTCTTGAGGCGTGGCTTGTTTTAATTCCTAAAACAGCTGATGCGGCCTCCAGGTCAAAGTGTTCGGGGAGAATGCAAAATGAGACCAGTGCCTCTCTTTCCTCTGCAGAAAGTCTCTGAAACGAAGCGTCAAAAAGAGACTTCAGCCTCAGATTGCTGGGATAGTCGGGGTTGTCCAACATTGCCAGAATATCATCTGTAGTTTTCAAAAACATGTCAAGAGACCGAGCTAGTGTCCCGGTGTTATCTCCCGAAATCGAGCAACACAACAACTTCATGGCCAATGGTACGCTCCCGCAAATCTGTGCAACTTTTAATCTATCAGACTTGCTCGCTTCTGGAAGCAATTCCTGGACAAGATCTGAAGAGGATTGCTCGTCCAACTCTCTTATTCTTAGAGCATGATGTCCTTTGATACGCAGATTCAAAAATTCACAGGATTCTCTTGTGGTGAGAAGAAACGTAACCTTATCGCTGCGATTGAGAAGTTCTTCAATTAAAGTAACAGCGTCCTCTTTCACGTTCGGAAGGTCACTTTCAAAAAGATCATCAGCATTATCAAGGATGAAAATGCAGCGATTTGGAATCTGAGCGAAAATCCGGCAAAGTTCGTCATCTGCCGTCAAACGCTGGGATGCTGGCACGGGTTGTGTAAACAAGCCAAGAAATTTCGATGTCAGATCACTTTTTAACCTCATCCCACGTAACGAAACAAAGTATATCGACAGGCCTTGTGCTTGGAGGCGATGTCCTTCAGCGATTGCAGTCGACGTTTTTCCGAAACCCGGCGAGCCCCAAATGGAAACGAGGCGAGTGGCTTCGTTGGTCGCGTGTGCAATGACGTCGTTGCACTCTTTGTCGCGCCCAGTGAAGTAAGGAACCATTGAAGGAAGATTTGATTTTGGTAGAATGGGATTAGACTCTGCGAATAAAATAAAATATTAAATATCAGTTCAGAATATGAACATATGTATACAATCAGGTTGTTGTAGGTACTCAATCTAGAAATGTGCACCACAGCTACCTGCCACGAGTGTGTTATAGAGGAATAAGACTTCAGCTTATAAAGCTAACTGGTGTTGAAACTTTTATTTAAAGTATGGTAACCTTCATCGGCGAGAACCATTATATCAACAACCTCAAAATTGGTGCGGGTCATATCCCTTCCAAAACTGTTACAGAGAAGAGCGTCCCTCTTACTTTATAATTGCTTTGTTGACGATTACATGGCATGCGGTTCTCTTTTTAGGTAAGAATCGAATTGAAAAATGTCTTGAAGTTACCGTCAAAAAAGTCGACTTTAAAGACAAACAGTAGCACCTCTATTAGATAGTGTATATTGCCTCGTTTTCAATTTATTAGGATACCTTTGATTGTAAAATATTATCTACTATTATTTAGTATGCCTTTAAATCAGTCGTTTTTCGATACTTGTATTGCCAGAACTGATGATATTGAATAAACCTATTTTATTATTATAACCTTGTTTCGTAGTCTTTATGGTGATGTCCTCCAACTTTTGATTCAATTCAACAAGTTTCTGACTCATTTCTTTTGTGGCTACGGATGGTTTTGCCAACTCCAACTCTTTGCTTAAGTCACGAATCTCCTGTATCACTTCCTTTCTTTCTTGGGCTGCTAATGTTGCCTCTTTCTCTCTAGCTTGGTTTGCTTCTGCGATATCAGACCTGATAGTTTCTTTATGATCTGACGTCTCCTTTTTCCTCTCTTTATTTTGCTCTTGCAACTGGTGTTTCAGTTGTTGAATCTCTTCTTTTATCTCCGTCACTGTTTGTTCTGCCTCATCCCGCCGCTCCTGGTTTGCTTCTGCGACATCAGACCTCATGCTCATCAACTCATCTTTTACTTGTTCTTTAAGAAATGTGATTTCTGCCTGAAGTTCTTTCCTGATCTCATCCTCGAGCTTGCGGACTTTTTCTATCGGGAAATCTGTCTCAGTTAAGTTTCCAATGGCATTCACAGAACTTGATGAGACTCCAAGGGCTTGGAAGGCGTCCTTAGTAAGTTGTATGTACATGTCAAATGTTGCTTTTGGGATCTCAGAGCTGGGTGAGTGGCAGAACGC